TGGAGGGCCATTTCCCTGCCCTGAATGGGGTTACACTCCCCCTAAGGGACAGGGTCTGCAGCCTGGGGGTGCTCCTGGACCCCAGTCTAACTCTGGAAGCCCAGGTGGACTCGGTGGCCAGGGGCGCCTTCCCTCAGCTGCAGAAATTATACCAGCTATGGCCGTACGTGAACAAGTGGAGTCTCATGACAGTTACACATGCACCGGTAACATCTCATATAGATTATTGCAATGCGCTGTACATGGGTCTGCCTTTGAAGACAGTCGGTGATTGCAACTGGTCCAGAATCGAGCTGCACTGCTGGTGAGTGGTGGGGCCACTAGAGAACACATCAAGCCAATTCTGATTAAATTGCCTTGGTTACCAGTTGCTTCCCAAGCCCAATTCAAAGTGCTTGTTTTGACATATAAAGCCCTAAATGGCTTGGGCCCTGGATACCTGAAGGACTGCCTCCTTCCATATGAACCTACCCGGCAGTTAAGATCTAGTCAGGGGGCCCTTTTGAAAGAGCTGTCTCTCAAGGAGGTAAGAGGGATGGCTTGTAGACAAAGGGACTTTTTGCCAGACTATGGAACGCCCTCCCGACTGAGATTCATCTGGTGCCAACGCTGATGACATTTCAGCGCCAGGTCAAAACCTTCCTCTTCCAGAAGCCTTTTAATTGAAATAATATCAACTGTGGGTCCTGATGGCAATTTTTAGAGTATATATTTTAATTGTATTTTAATTGTTTTATCTTTTTATTGTATTTATATTGTATTTTAATTGTTGTAATCCACCCAGAGACCTTTGGGTAGAGTGGGTGGTATACAAGTTAAACAAACAAACAAACAAATAAAAGCAAAACGAATAACGGTGTGTGTGAGAGGATTACCCAGTGCATATGAACACCCCTGTTTCAGAGTATGAAAAAAGCCCTACTGTGTATGTGTCTCTTACAATATGCCCCACCATGGTTGATGTGGGCTTGGTAGAAAAGTCTCAGTTATCCTTCTCACAAAAAACTTTTTTGTTTCCAAATACAAAGTAATAATCAGTGTCTTTTAAAAAAATGATACTTCTCTTTCAAATTCTGAGATTCTAGCCAGACATGGCGATATGGCATACATGCATATTAATGACTATGGCCAGTATAGCATTCTGAATGGAAGGCAATTGTTCAAGTATTCTCCCCATTCCGAAAGGCTTTCCTTTGCATGTCTGGTGTCACAATGGTCGCAGGATCAGTCATGCCATCAGTTGGGTGACCGGCTAAATGAGAGGTCCTGCTGGAGCGGACCGAATGCTTGTGTGACTGCCTCCCATTCTGAATAGGGTACTGGCCAACGTGAGTGACAAATGCCCTAAAGTCACTGCTCTCTGTCACTGGGACACAGTGTCACGTCTGTGCATTTTGGAAACAGGAGAACCAAGTGCTGTGTTCATATATATGTTCAAGCACTAACCATTTAACTTATGCCTGTCTATTTTATTTTATTTTATTTTGCATCCCTTGCAGAGAACATGGTTGTAAGGGAGATACAATCCTCTCCCTTTCTCAGAGCACTGATTTGAATGCTGCAGGTAACAAACAGTGACTCACACTGTCTAATGGCATGATGGTGTTTCGGAAAAATGGTTGCACAACAACAGCAAAATCCTCCCGCGGGGTGTAGCGACCACTCTGGATCAACATGACAGTTCTGTCCTATTTAGAAAGGGGAAGAAGTACAAAATAAGAAGTTTAATGTCAAAGCAGAGCTTCTCTCCAGATCACATATTAGATTCAATAGATTAGTAAAGACGACTAGTGACATGGGCAGGGGAGAAGAAGGAAGAGAGAGTGGATATATTGTCTTTGCCAACGTGGTAGAGGATTACAAGTCACATATCCTATCTAGTACGCCCAATGCCATGCTGGTGGTAAAGTATAGAAGCTACAGTTCTGTACACGTGGAAGAAAATAGTCTGGGGAAGGCTGAGCAAGAACAACACAGCTACCTCATTCAACACCATTGCAGAGACCGCATGGTCTAATTTCTGTCCTTAGTCTGTAATGCAGGAACAGTTATGTGACTCATGTAAGGATGAAGCAGAGAGTGGAACCATGGACGCTTCCAACTGAAGTCTTATGGTGCAATCGCCCTGCCTAGGTCATCAAATATTACAGGATGCCAGACAAACTTGCCTTCAATGTGCAGACCTTCCTTTTTTTCTCCACCCTGTTTCTCCTTTTCCTTCTATTACAGAAGAAAAGGCAGAATAGCTGCACAGAGCCTTTTGATTGGTAGCACTCAGAAAGTTCCATCTGGGAGCACCCAGAGTTATCCCAGCAGGGTCTTAAAACATGCATGGCAAGCTTATAAACCTCTGTTATTACTATCGTAATTATTTCCCAACTTTCTCTACAGTTTCCCAGCAAGACTCCCCAAACAGTTTACAATGGAATCATTAAACCATGATAAAAATGCAAAACTGTAGCACCATTGGTAGGCAAAACAATCAATAAAAATAAGTTAACAAGTTTTAAAACAACTCCAAGTCTGCTTGGGGGTAATTATCTCAAGCTATAATAATCAGTACCCAGAATGATACATGCCTTCCCGAAAAGCTGTCTATTTCACTTTCTCCTTTAAAAGAAAATGAGAAGTTGCTTTTGAGCTTCTCAGAGCAATGATTTGAATAACTGGGGCTCTGACTTCAAACAGGCTCAAGACTTCATCCTATTTAACAGTGAGGGTACACAAAGCAACTAAACACAAAATCTGAATGCATACATTGGGCAGTACCTTATAGCTACTTTTATAGCTAGTATCATATAGCTAGGGTGCAGTCAGGCTAGAGAAATGCCCCCTTCTTTCTTGCATCTTCTGCATTGTGGTCACATGGCATATATACTGTGATAGTGGTTCATACTTTTTTTAACCTTTCCACTTGTTTGGGTGAATTAAATGCGATACATTTGTCTACAACCCTTGATCAGGACATATCGCCTTCTTTTTCTTGTGCCTTTCTCTGCCCCCCTTTCCCTTAAAAATGTTTTGTGGGTACATCGCTGTGTTGGCAAAATACCCTTGGTGACCACGTACTGATCATGGCCATTTCTTCCTATATCCATGCTTCGTTACCCTCTATGGAGCAGAACCCACAGCACACAGCAGTAGCAGTCAAAAGAGTAGGGGGACTGATGCCCCATACTTGGCAGGAGTATACCAACATGCCAACATTCCAGTTTGAAAATTAATAATAAAAAAAATTAGGGGAGTCAAATGACACAGGTGAGAAAGGTGGGACTGCATTCCAGATGTACAAGAAATGAATCAATTTTGGAGTACACACTCAGTGGGATGTTGGCTTTATTGCACAATGGAACATGGGACAAATATAATAGTAGTGTCGCAGCAGACTGGATTTGATGCAGAGACAGCACCGAGGGTGGGGAATCAATAATGGTCTTGTGTCATCTGAACCCCCGCCCCAAAGGGTCAAAATTCACAAGAGGTAACACAGAGACATTTTGGTGGTGTGATCACAGCCTAAGACTGTTGAACCAGCTGCTCTGTAGTGAATCATGACTGGGGGGAGGATTTATATGACATTTCACATTTTCTCTGCAACTTACATTTGAACCCATAGGCAAATTCAAACATGTTTATGAGTAATCTGGCCTTTCTCATGAGATTATTAATAAACATGTTCAAATCCACCCATAAGCTCAAACATATGTTGCAGAAAAAATATGACATGTCACAGAAATCCTTCCCCTAGCCCATTGGTCAAATCTTGTTGCTTGTAAATCACACTTCAGTGGGCCAAATTAATCAAAGGGAATTTACTGAGTCAACTTCTCCTACTTTGCACTGATTTAGATAAGCCTACTGCACTTGCAATGTACTGTGCTAAAGTAAACTGCAGTTGGAGTCAGCCCATTCAAATCAATGAAACTCATGGAGGAGTTGAACATACAAAATCTCCATTGATTCAGTTAGCCTATTTTAGTGCAACAGGATTTTGGCCATTAAGTCAATGGTTCTACTTTGGCTGGGACCTGCAGTAGGCTACTGGCAGCTGTGAATAAGAAGAGATGATAATAAAAGGGAATGGGCAATTATTTGAAATACAGTGATCAACTTATGTGGGAGGAGAGAAGTCATCTCCAACATCAACTGAAATAAGGCTTCAATCTCAAGCATTCTCATTCTGGTAATTATTACCAAGTTAAGGTGTACACCTGCAACAAAGTGTTGCTGTATACAGAGTTCTTTTGTTCTGAATTCTAGGTAATCACTCCTGCCCTTGTGAAGATCCTCTACTCCCATTTAACATGCTCCCCAACAGTTTTCATTTTGTTGGCTCCTGAACATGTTTAGTTCTTCCTGGGTTATTTCACATGCACCCCACACTCCCATTAAGGGGTTTGCCTTATGCACAGGAGCTGCATGACAAGTCAAAACCATATTCTGTAAGCAATTTGTGATAGCAGGAAGCAATCCAAACACAACTTTATAACTTTTAAATGGGATCTTGCATCAGGCCATATTTGGCAAGGTAAGTGTAAACAATATGGACTTGCTCTGAGCCAAACTGGGAGAAAGCTGGACAAGTACTTTTAAAGATTTAATTTCTGATCTTAAAAATCTTTTCTACCCCCATCTCCTTTCACACATTTTGTTACTCCCTTGTAGTGAATTCAGTAGTTATTTTTCAATCACGAATCACTACGTCTTCAAAAGGAAAATAATTATTCCTGCTACATGCTTTTTTAAAATTTGAATGTCATCCATCTTGTTGAGATCTGAAAGCTGCTTATATTATATAGGAAAATTTACATAAAATGTGGCTGAAGTACTTCCCATTGCCCAAACCTCTTGCCAGTATTTTAGAAAATGAATGAGTCTTACTCATGAGATGAATAGGGCTTACTTTTGAGCAAGACAGTAGAATGGGATTTCAGCCTGCCATGTTCTTTTGAACAACTCATCACAGAGAAAGTGGAGAGAATGAGACCGAGGAGGAAGAGTGATAGAAAGAAACAAACAGAGGAGGAAAGAAAGAAAAACCACAGAGAGCCAGAAAAAAGAAAAAAGAAAAAAAAAGAAAAAAAGAGGACCCACAGACAGAAAGAGAAGGAGAGAGAACCCAAAGAGAGAGCCACAGAAAGAATAAGTATTAACTGTTCTGTGTTCCTTATATCTGGCAGTATATCAATGCCTGTATGAATATAGTAAAGGAAAACTGTTTTGCTCTTTTTGCTGTCAAAGGCCAGGGAGAATTTGAAAAAAGACCTTGAGGCATCTTCTGGAAAGCCAGCTGGACACTCAGTTTGAGGGGATACTTGACAGTGCTGAACAGCAGTGGTAGAGGATTAATACGCAGCCAACCAACCGTCTGGAATACGGTATGAGATAGGAGGAAGGAGAGGAAAATAAATGAAAGTGGGCTTTAAAACAACCAGTCAAAATGAAGACCAGCATATATTTGATTGTTTTGGAAGAGAGTGACTGGAGGATGAGGAGAGGACAAGAAGAGAGGGGGGAAAGTCTGCCTTTACTACTCCCTGACCAGTGTGTATATGTTTTCCACCCTTTCCTCCTTGGTAACCTTTGCAGACTTCCTGCCTCTCATAAGCTCTAGATCTGAGTGGGTTTATATTTTCAGCAGTCCTTAACACAGCTCCGGTTTGCTCCTGTCTCCTGTTGGCAGACCAAAATGTTTATAAACATATTGTAAATGATTGGGGAAAAACAAACACAAATTGACGGTTTGACATTTTTCCTGTTGCTTTTGCCTAATTCACCCGCCTCCTTCTTGTAACATCCACATTTACTCAAAGAGATTGAAACTGGGATACAAAGGGCTAAGTGGCAAGAGAAACAGAAGGAAAATCTTAATTTGCTAAAATAGAGTTCCAGGTTGGAAGTGCCACAGTACTGAACTCACCCCCTCCCTCACAAGGCTGACAGAACACACAGATCTGACAGCCTGATCTCATGCATTTTTAAAATTATTTAAAAACATTTTAAATAAATAATAAGTGGACAAATGTGCCCAAATCATGGTACCAACCTAAGGCCTGCTTGCTGTTACATGCTGTTGTATCCCCTTCAATGTACTGTATGGTGATTCTAATAGGGTTTTTGGCGTTTATGTGAGATATTTATGGAATGATTTTGCCTTGGCCAACCCCCTCCCTCACCAAGCAAGCTTCTATAACCAACCAAGTTCTAGGCCAGCCCTCTATCCCCTCCACCATGCTAGTCCTCTTAGTAGGATTTTTGAGAGATGTGACGGATTCAATGAGTTGTTTACCCCTAGGAGGGTTCCATGCTGAAGCAGAGATTTGGACTGAGATCTCCTGAGTCCCAGTCTGACATTCCATTGGTCTGATCGCATTGGCTCTGAGATTCAGCTTACCCACATGCTATGGGACCAATGTCTTTGTAGGCCTGAATAAAACTGAGTGCTGTTTGTATGTTTTTGGATTTGGACATTGACTAATGATAGTTACCTGGGGAAAAGGTCATTGGTGCATAGTCTGCATTTTGCATTGTGTCTCATGTTTCCTCCAGTGAACTCGACATGGGACCCTTAACTCTCACCCTCCCCTTTCTCCTTACAATAACCTCATGAGATAAGTGAGGCTGAAGGAGAATGACTGAGACAAGGTTGCTGGATAAAACTAAGTGCACTTTTGGTCTGTTAGGGCTTTTAAAGTCTCAGCCTTAATTACTAAATAGAACCTTCATGCTTCGAGGCAGTGTACGTCAACATATTGCTTGGATGCCAAGCATTGGGAGTGGGACAGACACTCAGCTTAGCATTTTGTTTGACTTGGCGGACTGAGTCCTTTCATATGTGGCTTCTACACACAGACCACAACAGCAATACAGTACGACAGTCACCCAATGTACATTTCTACTGGTTCATGCCCATCTATAATACTTAGCACAAGAAGGGGATCCTGCAAACTATCTTGATGGCTAATATTGGTATTATCAATGTTCGGGCTAGCTTTTGCTTGGCACCCTTTTTCCTGCTGACAATATGGGCATGATATTACAAAGCAATGTCAGGCCATTTCCTGGTGTTTTGAAGCAATATTTAACTTTCATTAACCAGAAGTGTTTTGAAAGACTGGTTTTTCTGGGAGGGTTTTTTGTTTTGTTTTTACAAACTTTTAGTTTTCTCCATGCTTGCCAATAACCTTCTTCTTTTGCAAGGATGGTGTTAGTTTTGGCTGCTTAAGGATCAACAGCTGGAGAATGAGTTCATTAATACTGCATAGAGGTGGCTTCTACAGGAGGCCAGCTGAGCTCTTGAAATCAATAAGTAAGAAAGTGCTTTCTTTACCTGAAAATCTCTATTAGTACTTTCAATTTCTTGCAGTTCAGAGGAGTTTTCCTGAGGGTTCAGAATACATGGACAAAGGATCCTGAAAAGGAGTAATGCTAAAATCAGTACACGTTAGAGATGGATTTGGATTCCAAAAGGCTTAGAAAAAAGCATAGTACTATGTTCCTCCCAATATCAGTTTCTATTCTTATTTGACAGTTGTGAATCCCATTACATCAGGTATGTTTTCAAGCAGATCTATGCTCTTTTCATGGCCTAATAAAAGCATCAGCAGAAAACCAGACATCCTAAAGCATCATATTGCCATCTTAAATGTGGCTTGCACCTTGCTTATAGCTATACAGAACAGGGTTTAACAAAGTGCCCGTTGCTACTAGTCAATAGTTTGAATTAGCAGGAGGTTTAGTTTCTCTGATTCTACTGCTGTCTCATGGGATTTTGCTTGGTTTGTTGCTCCACAGGGGCTGATGGGAGCAATTAGAGGAGACCAGATTAGGGGCTAGTTTAGATGTGTGATTTTTATTTAGGGTGGAAGAAGCCATTATTTCATTCCTGAACAAGTCCTGAATAGGTTGCCTGACTCATTTGTATTTTGAACTTCCAACTGTATTTATCTCTTTTTCTCTAATGCTAATGAATCCTGTCTCTGTCTGAAACTTAGTAATGCTAAGGAAGATGAATTATCATCGAAAGCTTTCTTCATTATTTGTTTTTTTGCTTTATTTTCTTAATGGACTAATAAAAGTATTACCTGTTCCTGTATTAGTAATGCTAAGAGAGGAACTGCAGTTCCTCAGAATGGGAAAAGATGTGCCTCATCTGTTGACAAGCTTACCACTCTCTGGTTTTAAAGAAATAAGAGATATCTTAGCTAGTTGGCCTCTAAGATTTAAATCAATGTTTTTCTTCCTGTCTTCAACCCCACCCTGAAATTAGCTAATACAAGAGACCTAGTAACATTCTGACTTTGGGCATTGCACTCTACTCCGTTATTAATATCTGATATAAAACAAGGAGCGCACAGCTACTCTCTCTTAAATAGCTGCAGCTCTAATGGAGATCAATGAAGGCTGTTCCCATGTGAGTAAAGGAAAAACAGAGCCCAGCATCCTCATTATAATTAGCGTATCTGCTGCCTCACAGCTCCCAGGTCCAATAATATCTGACAGGACACCAGTTCTTTTAAGCCCTTTGTGGCCGCTTTATGAATAACAAAGATATAGATTAGCCCTAAAAATAGCATTCAGTACAGATTGCCATGATCTGCTCACTTACGCCCCTGAAAGAACACATCCGGATGCTTCCCTTTTTATCTGACGCAGTTCAATGAGTTCCATTATCTCCACCATGTTGACAAAGGCCCGAGGGAGCTGCAAGGAATTACAGTAAGCAGGTATATTGATGCATAGAGCACAAGACAGTTGAATAATACTATAGAGAGGTTATATAGAGATCAGTACCCAGAGCAACCAGCCTCTTCGTGCAATGAATAGGTGGGGAAACACAGCTAACGGTAATGAACCAGTGGGCTTGGCTAGTGTGGTATGCATTACAGCTCAAATTGAGCCAACTAGAATTCTAGATATAATGCCCTTTGTTTGGTTATTATTAATGGTGAGCAAAGAAAGATACTGAGTTATTGTTCTTTTCGGAGCTTAGAGATACCACAGTTAAAATTGTTATTGTTACTTAATAATTTGTGAGCAATAGAGGGCAATAGTGCTACTTTTTAACAGTAACAGGGCAAACCATTGAAGCACTGCTTTTGAAGTGCAATGAATAATGGTACGTATTAGAGTATGACTGTTCTCACTAAATTTTAATCATATAAGATGGCCTGGGAACTTTATTTCCTTTTAAAAATTTAATCATTGTATTACTTGATGGTTTATCGTTATTGCTTACCTTTAATTATTGAAGGTGGATGGGTATGCATGCTCAGTTCTATTTTAACCTTGAAAATGAGGGTCCTGCATTACTCAGAGCAGAAGGAGGCCCTGCCTCTCCATAGGCTAGAAGGTGTGGGGGGGGCACCTAAGAACACCCCCTTGGAGTGCCAAGAGCAAGAGTATGCAGCCTTCAGAAATTTGAAGCACACACAGAGAGACCCTAAGGGCCACAAACGCTCTCACATTGTGCTAACTCTTCAAATATTTTTTTCCAGAAATTGCTTTTTAAAAAATGAAGACGCCCCCTCACATCATCTAGCAGCCAAATTATCTTTACAGAATTTATTCCCCCCCAAATTGGTTGTCTGGGGGCTTCCTGGATTCCAGGGGACTCAAAACATGGAAGGTTAGCCTCCCTAAAGGGTTCAAGGAGGCTTTCCATTTTTGAATTGTGTGTGGGGTGCTGGTGGGCCCCAAGACCACATTTGGGTCCCTGGCGGCTGCATGTGGCCTATGAGACACACTTTCCCCACCTCTAGGTATACAGTGTCTTTTCATTCTCTTAACAGGATGCTCTGGGCACTGTAGGAAGTTGTGGGTTGCTACTCTTCCTGACTTGGAGAAGGAAGAGACAGATCTTGCACTGCTCTGAGGAGTCCTTATTTTCCAAGTTAAAAGTAGAACAGAGCATATACAGTACACATACCTCAATAAATGAAGGCAAATGATAATATCATGAATGATGTGACAGCAAGACAACATTGCCGCATTTGAAATTCAGGTAGCAGTAAGAATAACAAGTTGCCTGTTGAGGTGGGTAATCACAATTCAAATTCCTATCCTAAAAGGATATTCTAAGCTCCTTTAGGATAGAACAGATCAGGAGACTCTGGGCTGTAGATGATCATGGTCAGACCAATGGCCCGAAATGTGAAAATTGAAAGGCATCAGTATATATGTAGCTTTTGAACTGTTGCTACATTGTAGCATTTGGGTGGAGTTTTAGGCTTAACATTTTCTGAATCCACTAGTTCAGAATTCATTGTCTTCCTTGTAGTTTCATAGCTGAGTGATTTTCAAACTGGGGTCCCCAGATTTTCTTGTAATTCCCAGAAGCCTTCACCACTTGCTGTGCTGGTCAAGATTTCTGGGAGTTGCAGTCCAAGAACATCTGGGTACTCAAGTGTGAGAACCATAGTCATAGTTGGCCTAGCAGATTTTTCCTCTTGGGGATTATGAAAAATTTCTCTTCCTTTTTATGGTATGCCATTTCCTCATTATTCCTTATATTGCCCCTCCTAATCTCAATGAATCTTCTTAATTCAGAACCTGAGGTTTTACTGTGTCTTTCTGGCAACTCAATCAAGGCTCTTTGCCATGTATGCCACACTTCAACACTACATGTTTTGCCTGAAGAGAGGTAAGGAGAAAAGATACTGAAGTCACTCAGTGATAATCAAGAACTTAACTGGCAGCATTTCCCTCCTAGACCAAAAATTAATCCACAACTTTTGGAGTTCCTCTTGTTTATCGTGAACAAGAGGAACTTGTTCATCAGTAGTGGCTGGTGTGAAGGGTTCTGTAAATCCAGTCATGGTTTTAGTTTATACTTTACAGGAGCTATTCAAAGAACTGAACCCTAATGCTAAAATGATATCAGCACCACGTATAACTCTGGTAACGTGCAGGCTAAAACCTGGACTGGATTCACAGAACCCCTGAAACGGGAGTCACCACCAGCTCCCACTAAATGAACTGAGAAGATGCAGCACATGTAAGATCAAGTGGTAACCTCACAGGCAAATTCAACAACATAGTTGCCTAATTTCATTTCCTCAGTGGCTTCATAAATCCTCATAATGTAGAACAAATAAAGAAAATAAGAGACCCGAAACCATGTAGAAACAGCATGGTGGACTATCTAGTGCTTGAGGCAGAAGCTTCTTCTTGCTACAGAGAGGTTGCTAGCTCTATAGATGCTAGCTCTGGGAGATCAAGAAAAACTAGCCATGTACCATCATTTCCCCCATATTAGAACCCCATGACTTTTTTAGGTATTTGTTTTCAAGGTCACTGAATTACTGTTTAAATGTATGGCCCCACCAGTGCCAGCTTTTGAAAAGAAGGGCTTGAATGAAACATGATCATGGAAACTCTGTGAGAGGTGAGAAATATGTATGTGTGGTTGCCAAGAACTCAGCCTTCTAGAGTATTTTAAAACCTTACCTCCTCGTAAAGAATATCAAGAGCATCCTGGAGGTGTTTTACATAGTTTTCCACTGAATAGGTCTCCTGAAAAAATAGGGAACACCAAATTATCCATCTTTAGCACTACCTAAGAAGCTACGTGACAACCTCCTCCCCTTTCCTATCATGAACAGATTCACGTGTTGGTTTGACTTGCAGGAAATATCTATCTATATTTGTATCTCCTACAAATCGAGCCAGCATGTAGAAATAAATAATGAAAACTTGGTGTACTTGTGAGTAAAGATATTACTTTAGATTATTATGATATTTGTAAGTCTAGCTTTTTGTCTCCCCATCTAATTCAAAAATGACAGTTGGTCAAGATGGCGGCGCAAGTATTTGCAGCGGCTAGGCATTCCAGAGATCGGTCCTTATTATGGACTCTACGTGCTCAGGCACAAGTAACTTACAATGTTAACCGCCCAGAGTTGGGCAAGTTGCCAGATGGGTGGCATATAAATAAATAAATAAATAAATAAATAAATAAATAAATAAATAAATAAATAAATAAATAAATACATAAAAGCTGTGTTTTAGTGTAGATAACAGTGCTTTTCTGCCCAATTAAGGCTCAACGCTTAGTTTCCCTCACCCAACAACTCAAAGGATTCACTTAGGCCTAGCAACCAGTTCGAGAAACTAGATATAGATATAGATATAGATATAGATACAGTATAGATAGATAGATAGATAGATAGATAGATAGATAGATAGATAGATAGATAGATAGATAGATAGATAGATAGATAGATAGATAGATAGATGATTAGTATCCCCTCTTATGGTTTCTAGGTAAGCAGTAAGAACATTTTTTATTTTGTCTGGCTTTCAATAGTGTTTGATTAGAATACTGAATGTTTAATTTCTCCATTCTCTTTACTTTTAATTGTTGCCCTTAGTTTTTTTTAAACAGCAGTGGTCCATCTTTAACAGTTCTTACCAAATCCCCACCCAAAGAAAATGAAACAACTTCACTGAGTTCATCATATCAACATATTGAACAAGAATGGTCATTTGCTTAACAAAATACTTTAATTTAAATTAACCTTTTTCTCCAGGTGGACTTTTGGCATATGACTAGCTTTTAAGGTCTTTAAGGTCTTAATGGAGACGGTGTACTTTTTGTTTTGAAGTGTTTCAAAATTATATTTAATTCAATTGTGTTTTAATAATATAATTTGCTTAATTGTGTTTTAATATTGTAACTTAACCATGTTTTTATCTGTACCTATTTTTTTTAAAACTCTGGTTGTGAGCTATCTGAATCCCCAATTTTGGGGAAAAGGCATGATGTCGAATAAATAAATGAGCTTAATAGATTGTTTGAAAATCAAATGAGACTTCACCTTACTGCTATTAAACCAAAAGAGCTGATTTCCAGCTTGTGTACCTTGTCTAAGCAATATTGACACAGGTCGTTGGCTCCAATTAAAATGGTGACTAACTTCCAGTCCTCTTTGTAGTTAACGTCCTGGTAAGAAACAAGAGAAACAGACTCCATTATTATAACTACCTAAAGATTTCTGGAGCAGCCAAAAAAGGTGATCGTGAGTCAAGATTTTTTTTTTTTTTTGGTCAAGGCCCCATTGATTCTACTCTTTCTAGAACCACAGGGATTCTTTCCTTGCTGAGCTGCCTGGAGTTGTAGAAGGTCAGGCTAAACCACCCGCATACTCAAGTCCTCTCTATGGAAAACACCATTTGAAAGTGGATTCCTAATCTCATACTTCTTTTGGCAGACATGGTGATTGCAATCATATGCTGGCCTGGTTGCTTGAAATGCCATTTTATCTTTGTTCTCTTTGTGATGAGTTTTTTCATGACATACGAGCATTACTTGAAGGAAGGAGAGAAATAGGATAGAGGCTACTCTTGTATTGTCATTCCCATATTTCTGAGCTGCTTAGAGCATCCTTCATGGAAAAACAGCATATAACTTTAAATTCTTGCTACCGCTGCTGCTGTTGGTTTGTCTGTTAGAAGAACTTCAGAATAGCAACCATCAGCTCTCTTGTTGTCTCACACACAGTCACACACACACTTTCCCCTAACCCACTAAACATCCTAAAAAGACAAACATGTGGTTTTTTGTTTAATCAGATGCAACGCTGACTGCCCCTTTGGCTGCCCACAGCCACCAAATTCCCTTTGCAAAAGATATCACAATTAGGCAATGCAATGCTTGCAAATCAAATTGTGCAGAGCCAGCAAGTCTGTGTTCCATTAATTTTTGCATAATAGAACTTGATTCTGGAATTGTGAGTATCCATGTGGCAGAATTTTTAAGCTAGGGAGAGAGAAAACTGCAGGACTTGGGCTACAGGAAAGACAAACCTCAGAAAAGACACCATGGCTGTGATGGACTAGCCAAAGAAATTGATGTATTAGGCTTGTTTATAGTAGAAAGAATCTGAAATCCACGTTGTCCAGTTTATAAATCAGGCTGAGAATTAGGAATAATGGTAAGAGGGTAGCTGAAGAGAAAGTAAAATCAGGGTCTCTCCCTTTCCCTCCCCCCCAGCCTGCAATGCGTCCAGCTCCTCATCTGAACAGAAAGGTTGACAGCTGTTCCTAAGCTTGATCATCTAAGCTGCTCTACAGGGTTCTGTTACACAGCAGGATTCGGTTCCAACTGGATTTTGGATATGGGAGTTGTAATTCATTTGCACTCCTAGGCAGGCAAGCAGAAAAGGCAAGCAAAATTCTTTTTTTTTAAGATGACGCATGAATGCTAGTCTTGAATAGCTGGAGGTTGCTAAGAGTTCCTTCCAGCTGCTTGCACGTTACCAGGATTCTTGAAAGAGGAGGGAAAAGGGGGGTTCCTGGGAGCTCCCCTCTACCCGCAAGTCCCAAGATAGGTGACTTAGCTGTGCTTAGCAAAGGCCAGCAGCTGCTGAAACTACGTCATTGCCAGCCAACAATTGGAGCTGCTGAGAACGGACAACTCAGTGGAAAACATTCCGTAACATGCAGTACAAAGAAAGGCATGGATGGCAGCTATTTTTAGCGCGGCAAGTTTACATAACAAGCACCAATGAATCTGTCCTGAAGAAACCAAAGGCTTGGGAATCACTAGGAGGGGGTGGATGGGGGACTGGATTATTGCTTCGTGAATAGGGTTTGAGACCTGGCCTTTCTGTTCTCTTCATATTTACTTCGAAAGGGTGCCGAAAGTATTCAACGTCATTCCCCTGTGGGTATGTAAGGCCAGGATCATGGTTTCCTAAATCCAGCAGTGATTGTGGTTTTCATTCAAATGCTGGTATTTCCACTCAGCTGCCCCCTGAGAAGCAGAGGAGGATGGAAGAATGATGGAATGCTGCATTGAGGGAAGTGAATTTTATTCTACTGCTTACTTTCACACTATCAATAAGACATGGTCTAGAGGGGCGGGGTATAAATTTAATAAATGAATGAATGAATGAATGAATGAATAAACAAACAAACAAACAAACAAACAAACAAACAAACAAACAAACAAACACAAGAACTGACAGCAAGGTCAGTTCTCAGCACTTGTTACAAGGGCCTGAGTCCACTTACTCATCCCAGCCTGAGAAGATACACTGAATCAGTGAGATTTCTATAGATATTAATTTAACATTTAGCAGTTGATTTAAAGAGCATACTGTAGTAGCAAATATTGTCCTATAACGAAAAGGTTATGCAGGGGTACACAATGCTGTGATGTACCTGTGGTATCCTAGTCTCCTTAGGAGAAAAGCCACCCCCTTTTGCATGTGTTGGAGATGCTTGAACCTTCATGAATGACCAATGCAAATGCCACAGGTCACCACACTCTAGACTCAAGGTGCCAAATCCAACAGCAGTCTGCACACATCTTCCACTTATGCACCCGTATTACACTGGACATCTGCAAGCTATAATCCATTTGTTCCTACTTTGTCTCTCCGCCTCACCTTTTATTCTTTTATGTTAGGAATATACTTACACAGTCCATCATCTAACCCAGACCACCAAGCTCCAGTGTTTGTAGAAACCAGCATCCAGAGTACAGAACAGCTGCAGCTAGATTGAGTAGCTACCTCTCATTTAAACTGATCGTTCACCAAGGTGGCTAGATTGTCTTGCTAAGGAGATACACTGAACCTGTACCCCTAGAACACTTGAGAAATTGCAGGAAAGCTAAAAACATATTGGGTACTTTCCCTGATTCCTTTTCCTTTTGGCATTAGGTTTCACAACAAGTAAAGGCATGGGCTTGGGTGCATAGTACAAGGGGGAGATGTTTCTACTCATGCCCAGCTGGTGCATGTCAACGGATTCCCCATCTGCAGTCCTCTCCCTTTGGGTTGGAAAAGACACTCTGGAGGGTCCCTCTACCTTTTAAGGCCATCTTTGAGGGGTGCATAGGATGCCTTCTGCTCCTGCAGCAGATATTCTTCATTGAAGCCAACTTGTTACATCTGAAGGCACAATGAATGGGTTTTAATTTTGTTTAGGGAGACCAGCTGATTTTGATCTCTGAGGTTTAAAAAGGAATTCCTTTCTGTGTCCCACTGATCTCTGATCAGGTGGGAATGATCTAATGTGCCATATGACTTGGCACCTTTGCTCTAGTTGTCTGAAGCTATTTGCTCTGTGGCCATTTTTCAGCAGTGTATCCGATCTCAGCTGCTGGCACGGCTCCACTCTGGATTGCAGGCAGTTATTTGTGGTGAGGAAGGACTGCCTCCTGCCTCCTGGGTTGTCTCAGGACAGTTTACAAGAGCAGAGCTTTTGCTCTCTCTTCCAATGCCAAGATTTTAAAGATTTTTGATCACAAAAAGCTGTCTAGATAGCTTTCCAACTATACAAACATCAATTTGTATAAATAAAAAACAATTAAAATAAGAGGCAAAGATGGAGAGCTTAATAAAAACATTTTTTTAAAAAAATCAGAATTAGTATACAGGATTCTCCCTAACACAGAGACTTCTATGACTTGTTACATTGGTCATAAAATTCCTGCTTTTGCTGTGTGCCAACATTACTAATGCCAACTCCAAGCAAATCTTTAAAAAAATACATTCCGCTTATATCAGGGGTCTCAAACATGTGGCCCGGGGGCCATTTGTGGCCTGCCTGTCTGTCTGCTGGCTGCAGTTCCGGATGGAGGGTGCAAGAGGTGCTGTCTTGGGGGAGAGCTGGTGAGTGAGGCACCCTGCCGACCCTTTTAAACAAGCGCCCAAGCTGCCACCGTGTGATACCAGTGGGGGCTTTTCGTCTTTGGCAAGGCGAACTCTGTGAGGGGTTTTTTTTAATGTCGTGCCCTCCTCCCCTCTCGTTAGGCAGTCGCCGGCACTCCCTCCCTTCTCCGCTTCTTCGTCCTGCTACTGGTGGTGATGGTAGTGAAGAACAAGCTGGAGGGGGTTGTGGCCAGCGATGAGGGCTCACGCGCCTCTCCTCCTCGGAGCCCCAGCTGGGCTAAGGAAACTCCCGGGCAGCTTCCTTGGGCTCTTGCTCCACTTGGCAGAAAATCTGATGCTTCCCAGCCTTACCCAGACTCTGCCTCCAGCGGCCCCCCAGGTAAATTGAGTTTGAGACCCCTGGCTTATATTAATGTATATATTTTGCCCATGAGCTCTTCCGATGCATTTCTTTCCCCACTCTCCCTTTTGTCTTCATTTTCCTTCATCCCCAATGCATTCATAATTTTAAAATCTAATTAGAAGTTGTTGTCAAGCCTTCTATAATGTATGTACTTACTGGGTTGCTCTTCATTAGCTCTATTAATTTACGAGCTTGGTCTGGGAGATCTCTGTGGATACAGAACAGGAAGAGTGTTCAAATGTGTACCTTGAGATGGCAAGGGAGACAACAAACATAGGGAGGATTTTGAAGGGCAGAATTTGGACTTTAGTTCCCCTAGCTGATAAAGTTTGATCTGGAAAGTCAGTTCTGATGACTTTCTAACAGCCCAGCAGGCCTAGAGAAAGCAAATTACAAACTATCTTCTCATGCATCTGATTTACACACATAATAGGAACCTCAAACTCATGAAAACCTGCAACTTGTCTTGCATGGTCTTTTTTTTTTTAAGTGAGGCAATCATTTTAACAAAATGCAGGCTGTGATCTTACATTAGTTCTTAACATCACTGCATCCAATAGTATTACAGGAACTGGCTGATGAACTCTCAGAACCACTTTCTATTATTTTCTTAAAATCAGGGAGGATGAATGAGTGCCAGATTTGTTGTTCCTATCTAATGCCCCTATCTTCAAAAAGGGCAAAAAGGAGGAATCTAGGAACTACAGACCAGTCAGCCTGACATCAATCCATAGAAGATTCTAGAGTAGATTATAAAGCTGTCACCCTGCAAGCACTTTGAAAACAATGCAGTAATAACTAGAAGCCAACATGGATTTCTCAATGACAAATCTTGCCAATCTTATCTCATTTTTTGACTGGGCAACTTCCCTAGTGGATGGTGGGACTGCTGTAGACATAATATAGCTGTAGACATAATATAGCCACACTTTAAGAAGGATGGCAACAAAGCAGAAAGTGCCTCATGATATTCTGATTAGCAACCAAACTAGGTGTGGTGGATACACCATTGGTTACAGAATTGTACACAGAAAGTGCTTATCAATGGTTCTTTCTCAAACTGGAAGGAGAAAACAAGTGAGGTACCACAGGGCTCAGTCATGAGCCTGGTGGTCTTCAACATTTTTATTAATGCCTTGGATTAAAGGCTGCAGGGAATGCTTATCAAATTTGTGGATAACGCAACATTGTGTAGAATAGCTAATACCCTTGAACATGGGAACAACATTTTAAAAAGATATTGATAGGTCCAAGCACTCGGCTGAAAACAACTCAATGAAAATTCACAGAGGTAAGTGAAAAATTCTACACCTAGGGAAAAATAAATCAAATGCACAGTTATAAAACAGAGAATACTTGGTTCGTTAGTACTACGTGCAAGAAAGCTCTTAGAATTGTTGTAGATCGCCAAGCTGAATATGAGTGAACAAAGTGATGTAGCTGGAAAAAAAGGCAAATATTTAGGCTGCTTTAGGATTAGTCTCCGTATAGAATGGATGTTAGTATGTTGTTGTTTCTCCTTTCCCTCCTTAACCTCAATCCCTTTTTTCCTTTCTGTCACCCTTTGTTAAAAATAAAATATTTTTTTTAAAAAGGATTAGTCTCCAAATCTGTGAAGTACTAGTTACCTTCTCTTTGGCTCTGGTTAGGCCTCATCTTAGTATTGTGTCCAGTTCTGGACACCACACTTTAAGAAGGATGGCAACAGAGCAGAAAAAGTTCAGAGAAAGGCAACAAGGATAATCAGGGGAAAGGAAACCAAGCCCTATGAGGAAAGACTGAAAGAGCTGGGCATGGTTAGTCTTGAGAAAAGAAGACTAAGGGGAGATAAGATAGCGCTTTTCAAATACTTGAAAGATTGTCATATAGAGGAGAAGCAGGATCTGTTCTTCATCACCCCAGAGTGAAAAACATGTAATAATGGGATCAAGTTACAGGAACCCAAATTCTGGTTGAATATCAGGAAAAAATTCCTAAATGTTAGAGAAGTATGACAATGGAACCATTCAAGAGAAAATTTGATATGCTTTGATATGGATTTCTACATTGAGCAGGGGGTTGGACTTGATGGCCTTATAGGCCTCTTCCATTATTCTGTGATTCTGTGGCATGGCTTGCACAAGTAGACCACATGCACAAGTAATTTTTCCCTACTTCTTCACCACTGGAATATTAGCTAAACTATTTCTTCAGCAGATATGGTTGAAAATTCAATCAGATTCCATACTATCAACTGTACCTATTCACTGCATGTTGCCTTTTCTTTACAGAACTAAGGGTAGTGTGTGTTGTTCATGCTCCCACACTCCTTTCATTCTGCCTATTGTAGGATGTGGGTTAGAGTGAGAAATAATGATAGACCCAATATAATGATAGGCTAAATCAAGATTTCAACCTGGATTGCTCTGAAACTAATCTGATTACTACACTGCCCTGCTCCTCAGTCTGGACTGCCACAAAGAGTATTGCTAAGAATATCACCTGGCTAAACTAGTAAAATGTTAATGGAAAGGAAGAAACAACATAAAAGCCTCATAAAGATTCCCACATCACTTCTGCATATTTTACATAAAATTCCATTCTCATATCAATTTGTACTTTTTAAAAATTCCTTTTAAACTATGTAAATATAAATCATACTTAAAGGTATGTTTTCCTCTCAAAACATATGTCTGAATGTGTATTTTCAGTTAAAATATATATTTAAATATGTATTTTCATTTAAAGGGCATATTTAAATGAGTATTTTGACATTTTTAGTGTCAAGAAGTGCACTGCTACCTTCACAGAACTACAAAATCTGGTACACTGGAACATTCTTGTCAGTGTATTGAGCTATCATTTCCTATAGAAGTTCACACAGATCACATTCTGTAACATCCTTTATTTAAGATTTCATTTGGATAGTTGCTTCCACCTCTTATCTAAGGAGGTGTGAAATTCATTTGCTTCATGTTTCAATGCAAATTTATCTAATTCACATTCCTGAAGCAATACACAGACTAAAATGTTGTTGCAATATAATGTTCAGACTTCTCTTAATTTTTTTTGATATATTTTGCCAGAAAAATGCATACAAGACGTGTATATTATGGGGCAATATGCACAAAATGCCAATGGAAATGACATATGGGAAAACAACACAGTAGAGAAAATTGCTTGGAAAATGTATGAATATGAGGAGAAAAGTGCATAGACTGTTGTTTTAAAAACTGCAAACTGATGCAGAAATGGGGCAGTGTAATGTAGCAACTAGAGTGTTGGATTAGGAGACCTGGGTTCAAATCCCTACTCAGTCATGCTGGATCACCATGGGCCTGTCACCCTTTCTCAGTGTGACCCACCTTACAGAGCTGTTGTGAGGGCAAAGTGGGAGGGAGAAGGGAGAAGGAAACATGTACCCATTGATGGATTTGTTGGAGGAAAGGTGATATATAAATACAACAACTAATGAAATAAATAAAAAACAAATTTAAAATAGGAAATATGAGAATCAGAAAGAGAAGTGGCCAATATTATTTATCCCCACTCTCCCCTTCATTTTATGAATTAACACCCCATGACCAATAAAAGTTGTACAGGAGAATAAACTCTTCATAAGTAAGAGAAGCAAATGTATTATATGATCCCCCTACAGCAGCTTTATTACTTTGTGGTGATCAGTAGTGATGTAAATCTTTGCTTATTTCGTTCTTGTAGAACAACATTTTCAAAGATTATGTCCCTGCTGGGTCAAACATTACAAATGTTTTTATGTATTTTTCACATTTTGACATTGAATTTGCACAAAATCCGTAGAAGTCCAAATATTTCTGTTTTGCACTAAAAATCTTATATTTTTTATTTTACAGACCCTCGTATTTAGTACAAAATATGTGTTTTTCATACAGAAAACCATTTTGTAAATGCTGGTACCGGCAAAAAAAATTAATAAGTTCTGGTCTTTTAACTCTCATCTAGGACAGTTGCTCATTTTTTTCAATGGGCTTTCTGTATGTATCAACACAGACTTTTTCATAGAGGATCAAAAAATTTGTGAGTATCTGTTACAACCTTAGTGAGTAGTATGAGAACAGCTCCAGCCTGCTTGCCAACCAGCCAGCATGGCTGCCAATGAGCAGAGAAGTTCTGATCAATTATCTTTTTTCCAAGATTGGCTCTGACAGACCGCATTTGAAGCTAAAGCACTAAATTCTCAAGGCAGCTCTTGGAAGCTTCAAGCTGTTTCACAGCCATATTGCCTAACCTCTAACTCTCTCTGCAGTCAATTTAGTGCTCACTGAAAGGTGATCGATTGAAGACCTCGGTGTCTAAGACTGCCAAATGTATTCAGACAGGTGCAATATTGTAAAGGATCTTCTAACAAGTATTTATCCTTAGATCTCTGGACTAGACTTCTATCCTAGAAGGAAATGAGATGATGACACAGAGATGATGGGCCAAATCAAAAATTAGCTATGGAAACTTCAGACAAAACTGAATTTAATGGGGCATAGGTCACTCCGTAAAATTGTGTAGTACTGGAATTCATGAGCTATGGTAGTATGAATGCTTTCAGAAAGAGCCCCACTTTCATAGCCAATAAGAACAACCAAGTGATGGAACAACCATATTATCCTGAAAAATACTGGCAGAAATCCTGTTCCTTAGCATGGGAGGCCACACTAGAGTAGGCCCATTGAATCAATGGACCTCGTGGAGAAATTGACTTGCTGACTTAGTGGGTTTATTCTGGTGTGATTTACTATGCTAAGAAACAGAATTTCAGCCAATACATCTTACCTGATTTTAGAAGTTAAGCAGAGTTGGGCACAACTTAGTGCTCAGATGTGAGGCCAACAGGGAATATCATGGATATCCAGCTAAGGCTCTAAAAGGATCCTGCCTGAAGCTATAACAGCTGCCAGTCAGAGTTGACAGTATTAGGTCAGATGAATCCAAAGCAATATAAAACACCTTCCTAAATTTCTGAACCCAGACAGTGCATCGTTTACTACTGCCTTACAGTCAGATTTTCAGGACAACGCATATGTTGTATAAATATAAGGCTCTAGAAATATTAATGTACCAAATAACAAAAAGAACAATTGATATTAACTAATGTGGTCCAATGTGAGACACAGTTTGGTTAGGCTTAATCTAGAAGAACCATTGTCTGTTCATGACATCCTTTTCCTTTTTCAAATACGTCTTGAAGAAGCTTACCGTGCTACTGCGCCACCCATTGCTACGTTGAATCCAGCAGTCTCCTTCTCGGTTCCAGTAGAAAAGCCAGTAAGATTTGGGTTAAACTTTTTTAAAATATCTGGCGAAGAAGGAGAAAACCAAGGTCAGTCTCTGTGCAAATCACAAGAACCACTGCAAACTGCCCTACATCGTTCAGTAGGGAAGACATGCAGATCTAGATTCCTGCAGCCAAATCTCTAATGGCCACCTCACATTTTAAAGATGTTCCCATAACTGCAGTTTGTAGATTAGTGAAAGAAATATTGAAGGACAGAACCTTCTCTTCCCAATTGCTTGGTTCTATTTCCCTAAGAGACTCCTAAGAGACCAATCCTACCCTCTCAGTCTCAGGGACCATCAGCATCAGGGCCCCTTGAGGTCAGATCTCTTTCTCTGTGCATGGACCTTTGATGAGGAGATCCTATCAGTCCTGTGGAACCTTGAGAGGTTGCCCCCATGGCTCTACCACATCCAGAATGTATGACATCTCAGCTAGCTGCTTGGTTTTGTTTTATCATTGGGTCGTAGGCATCTCATCACTCATGGCGTGTCTGTTTGCGGTGATGCAAACCAAGTGCAAGCCAAACCAAGGCTGCAAACCAGGATGAAACCACGTGAGGGCACTTGTAACTTCTCTCATTTGAATGCCATGGGAAAATATAGTTAAGTAATGAGGGAGGAATGAAAACTTTCCTGCAATAAATGGATAGAAGGAGAATGTACACGAAGATAGCATTTGCTCATGGCTCTTTCAAATCCTGGTTTTTAGTGCATTGCCAAAATGCACTCATGAACTTTCCTGTTTCATGCTTTGACATTCTTATAAGCTACTCACTAGGCAAAGTTGTGTGGGTCTCCAGGTTTCCATCACTTCCAGAGCTAGGAAAAGGATAATACATATATTACACAATCAGTTAGTGATATTAATAACGTATGAAAAACATACCATCTGTCCAAGAAACAGAGCTGTTTTAACAAGAGGTTGGAGGACAGAATAGGTTTAGAATAAAAGGCAGGGGAATTCATCTTCCAGGATGAAATAATTTAAGAGTGGAATGTGTGTGAATTAAAAGAAACCATGGAATTTTTTTCAAATTAGATCAATTAAAGTGGTTTATTCTATACTGAAAAGCAAAATAATAAGACACAGTGCAATTAATTCCAATCTGGAACATCATTTAACATCACTACATGCATTACAGGAGGATAGCAGGACAGCATAGGTGTCCCATGGTCCAGGGGATGGATTGCCTCCTGATGTCAATATAATACAGTGGTGCCTCGCTTAACGAGTGCACCGTTTAACAACGAATCCGCATAGCGATCTAATTTTTTAGATCACTAATGCAATCGCATTGCGATGTTTTAATGGGTAAAACATCGCATTGCGATGATCGATAAGTGTTTTGCTTACCGATTTTCGGACTGCGATGTTTTTTGAACAGCTGATCGGCGGTTCCAAAATGGCCACCGGGTGCCCAAAATGGCTGCCGCAAGTGTTTTCGCGCCCTGCCCTCGCTTACCGAGGGTGCAAAAATGGCGGCGCTATGGAGGAACTTCGCTGAACGGTGAGTTTGGGCCCCATAGGAACGCATTAAACCAAGTTTAATGCGTCCCTATGGGTTTTTTAGATCCATTTAGCGATGTTTTTGCATAGCGATGATTAATCTGGAACGGATTAACGTCGCTATGCGGGGCACCATTGTATTTGCACTGTCATAAATGTATTTTCACTCCAGTTGTTTCTGCAGTAATGACTACTATCATACTCTGTCGTTTTTGTTTTCCTGAATAGGTTGTTATTATCTGGGCAAGAAAGAAAATTTGCCAGACATCTTTCAGTTTAACAGATCTAGCACCACTTCTCTGATGCATCAAAGGTAGACAGTGTTATGCCAGTACATGCAAGCATTAAACATTCTTTCTATTGATGCTTTTATAATATTCTATGCCTCACACCTTTCCTAGTGAGGCTTGATGGCTTGGGTGTGAACATAAACCCTGATCAATTCAGATATTATTTGACAAAATGCAATGTGTGGCGGTGCAAGCAATCAATGCCATTCACATCAAAGACTGCTTGATGGGAGCTCACTGTCAAGACTGGTACTAGCAAGGCTTTTGTTCTTAGGGAAGAGCAAGAGCTGAATGTTTGGGTATGAAGGTATGTGGAGAGATGGTCATATTGCTACAGTATATAGATTCTGCTTTCATTTTCAACTCTGCTAGGCTTTTTATTTCTCTATGTGGTTCCTTAAATTTATTACTCTCATCTAGTAGAATTTGGGAGAAATTCTAGTAAGAGCTTTACCTCCAGGAAAGCCCTCGCCATGCTGTTTGTAGATCATTCAGACCAGTTGCTTTGACTCCTACAGCAGTCTGTCAAGAAGAAAACAAATGTATTTACAAATGACATAAGACAATGAGTAAATAGGGGAATTGAAAGGATTTGGTTGCCTCTCCAAACAGATAAAAGATGAAACTCTGTATGACTGTTGCTAATGAAGCTGTGATTAAAGTCAACAAGATTTTTTTCAGTAAAGAGGCAACACAAAGGCACATTGCAGAAAAGCTTTAATACAATAATGAGAACAGAAAAGCTACAACTTCAGCATAAGGCAGTAGTGTTGTGCTGCATTTTCAAGGTATTCTATTTTTTGCATGACACAAGTTATTTCAGAACATCTGAAAATGTTAACATACACTGGTGCCTCGTAAGATGATTTTAATTCGTTCCGTGAAAATCGTCATCTTGTGAAAAAATCGTCTTGTATGGTTCCCATAGGGAACCTGGCAAGACGAATGAAATGTATTCATCTTGCGAAGTATCGGGCTTGGAAAAAAAAGTCTTGCAAAGCTTGGTCATAGAAAAAAAAATGTCTTGCGAAGCACCATAGGGATTGCGAAAACCAATCGTCTTGCGGGTTTTTCACCCCATGAAGCAATCGTCTAGTGAGACACCACTGTAAATGTTTCACTTTTCCATGCACTCTTACACATTCAGAGCAAAAGAAGGGATGTCAACATCTGGAAACAAGTTGTGGAACTCCCATATAAAAATATTCCTTGAAATTGGATGTGGTGTTGCGATCTAAGAAGTGTGGCTGCCCCAGTAATATCCTAAAGTGTGCAGACTAGGGTTTTTATTGGCTCAACAGGGTGGAGCCCAATTTCTCCCTTGCTAAGCTACCAGCATTAACTTTCCACCGGATGTCAACTGACACCACAGCCTTCCTGGGGAGAACAACATTTCCCAGTATGCTACTTGTGGTGGACCTACCGTCAAGGAGTCTCCCAGTGCTGCTACCACTTGGATGTCAGACGGCTGTAGACTGTGCACTAGATAAGGGAGCAAGAAGACATGGGAAGACAAAGATGTTGGTGTTATGATATGCTAAGCAAGTAGAACTTTGGGAAAACAGAGTGGGGAGTCCAGAAAAGAGAAATTTTACACTTTTTAAAAGTTGCAGTCACATTCACGCTTCCATGTGAGTAAGCCTTATAAAACGAAAACACTTGGGACCTAATTCAAAATAAGCGTGCATAAGACTGCGCTGCAAAAAAACAACAAGAGGAACGAGAACAGGCAGATCAACAGCGCTTGAACATTAAGAATATGTTGAATATTCCTTATGGGACATGTTTTCCAACTTGTTCATTATCTTTATTGCCACACTCTGAATTTAATTCTCACTTGGGAGGGGGCAATCCCGCACACCGTTAGGCAGCTTAAATTCCACCAAAGTCATTGGGATTTAAGCAGCACTCCCTCTGTGCAGTATTTTCCCCCTTATCTATACCCAGAGCAGCCCTAAAGGTACTTTTGGCAGTGATAAGAAGCTCTTTGCAGAGGCCTGAGAATCCAGTTTTCATTTCAAAATAAGTTTACAGCTTTCATATTTGGAGAAACATAATTTGGAAAATACAGTAGCTAAAAAGGCAAAAAGATTAGAGAAAATGGAAAAGTAGACAGCTTGTTTACCTATTTTTTTCCTCTCTCGTTCAGACCACTAAATTTTTCCAATTAAATAGCAATGCACCTTAAGACACAACAACATGTGTATGGCTGATTTCTCACCAGATTTTGAAATGTTTTTGAATGCAGTCTGTTCTTGACATAACAGGTCACTACCCCAGCTCTGAAAGGCAAACACAGTCAACTGATAATTAGAAGTTATTTGTGTGAGGTGAGATATATAGAATGTACAACAAATCCACTAGTGACTTGCTGTGAGGTAGAAGCACACACTCAGAGAAATGTACCTTTGCTGTTCTTACAGTACTTTCTCCCTAGCTACCTCCTGTGATTTGTTGATTATCTTTGGATTTAACCATGCAAAGGAAGCCTTTGTTTACAAAGCAGAGATAAAAAATCAGGATGCAAATACTTATCCTTTAAATGCTTTTTCACAATTACACCTTTTCTTTCACTTTAGGGAGCACTCTTTCTAAGGAAAATATTAATGTAATGCCTAGTGGGGACCACAGAGAAGGCTCACCCTTCAGTCAAGCACTATCTGCACTGATCAGCAACAGCCTATGTGCTATTGGTTACTTATAATTCCTGCAGACCTCTGATCTGGCCATGGTGGCACATGTCTTAGTGACACCCCTGCTGGATTACTGTAAAATGCTCTATGTGGGGCTGCCTGTGAAAGGTGTCAGGAAACTTCAGTGGCTCCAAAACACAGCAGCCAGCTTGCTGGTTGGGGCTGGTTACAGGGATCACATACCACCCACTACCCCCCATTACACCATCTCCACTGGCTACCGATCCATTTGCAGCCACAGTTCAAAGTGCTGGTTCTAACCTATAAAACCCTACACGGCTTGGGCCCAAGCTATCTCAAAGACCACGTCTCTCATTATGAGCCTGCTGAGATGTTAAGATAATCAGGAGAGGCCTTTCTCTCAGTCCCACTACCTTCACAGATATGTTTGATAGGGATACAGGAGAGGGCCTTTTCCATTACTGCTCCCAGACTTTGGAACTCCCTCCCACTGCAGGCCAGACGGGCCCCATCTTTGCTGTTCTTTTGCAAGCAGGCAAAGACCTTTCTCTCCAGGCAAACTTTCCCTCAGTGACTGGCTGCCTGAGTGGGATTTTAAATAAATTGAGGCCTTTCTGCTTTGAATGTATTTTTACTATTGCTTCTGTTTACTGCTTCTCACAGTGGTGTTTGTTTGTTTCTTTTTAATATTTGTATGCTTATTGTCTTTATCTTTAAATATTGTTTTTAATGATGTAAGTCACCTTGGGTCCTTTTTAAGGAGAAAGTCAGAGTAAAAATATTGTAAATAAATAATAAATAAATTACTCCTGTAAGCTGCCCCAAGTAGACTTTGTCTAGAGGGGCGGGGTATAAGTCCAAATAAAGTAAAGTAAAAGTAAAGTAAATCATGTATACCAGACTTTCATCATTTGCACAGATATTTCAAATTCTTGGTTGCTTTAATTTTCTACTAGCCCTTGCTTGGGGTGGGTACTATAGAGCAGCCATTCTCAACATTTTGGGGCTATGTCCATAAATAAAATATGAAAGCAATATAGGATGAATCAGGATTATACAAGTCATGTAATGAACCTTAAAAGGTAGTGTGTGAAGACTTTATTCCAGTCTGTGGCTCTCTTCAAATGTGCCAGCCCCCCCCCCAAGGGGTCCATATGGCCCCTGTCAAGAATGGCTGATCTGGTGTTCCCTTTCCCACTGAATAAATGGGACTTATATGGGTTGATTTTTTTATTTTAAAATACCAAATGATTCAATGGGTGTACTCTAATTGTGACTAGCTGCTAGCTTGCAGTTGTATATAAAAATTTCTTAACTTGAGGCAATTTATCACCCAAAAGTTGCACCTTTTGTGTAGGAGTACAACAGGATTTCAGCCACTGAAGGGGGACAAATTGTGTCATCTGGATAATACATAATAGACAGATCTGCTTGCTGTTCTTGCCTGGAATAAAACCCTTTATTTCCTAATGCAACACTTTCTGCTCATCCATCCATCCATCCATCCATGATGACACACAGAATCACTCTCTGTGGCACAGTAAGAGTTCTTTCTTTTGAAAATTGCAGGAATGTTGACAAAGCATGTGACCCTTTGCAATTGAAACTATCCATTACCTCAGTTTTTATATCAGGACAATGTTCTAGAGACTGAACAGAATTGAGCAGTTGCACAACTAGCAGCTGTACCACCTGCCTTTCTAAATCAAATGCAGAAACCCTTCATTTTGGAAAGTGAAAAAAATGTATTTATGGTACAATGCTGCCATTGGTACACTGAGGCATACATGCTAAGCACATTGCAGGGGGGAATTGCTTGTATTCATCGTAACTTAGATTTAAAGAGTTCAGGCTGTGCTGTTCTCAGGGAACCTTCTGACAGATCAGATTGAGACAATCCTGGGTGAAACAAATATTCTAGAACCATTTCAAACAACGTTTAGCCCTTAATTTGGCACTTGAACTGCCTTGATCACAGTGTAGATTCCCTTGGACTTTGTGGCATGTTTTGATTCCATTAAGTATGGTATAATTCTGAAGAGCTCGGTGTGAGCTGGATGAAAGACAGAGCTTTATAGTAGTTTTACTTGTATTTGGATGATAGAAGTAAAAAAAGGATGCTCACTCATAAGGTAGTGCTGAAGAATTTCTACCCATCTTTCTGGCATTTATGCTTTGGGATTTTCTACAGCAGCCATTCTCAAGTGGGGACTGGCCCATTCACAATGGGGAGTGGGGACTGGCACCTTTAAAGGGGCCATACACTGGAAACAATTCTTCATACACCACCTTATAAGGTTTGTTATAAAGCTTATACAATACTGATTTGGCCTATGTATTTCTTTCATATTGTGTTTATGGTCATGGCCAAAAAAGGTTGAAAACGGCTGCTCTGGAGGTCAGTCTCATTCCATGTTATATTTAGCATCTACACCAGGGATAAACAACTTCTAGGGACAGGAGAGGATGCAATAGCTCCCATGAACCCAATGGATTTATGACTGCCATGGTGGTGAGAGGAGAGTTCTCCTTTATAACAGGTCCCATGGAGAACATGCACCTTGTTTTTAAGTTGAAGCCTTCTTCTGGAGCCACTGTTTGGCCTGAAAACAAAGCATTTGCTCCATATCCACCCAACAGTTGCTATTCAGTTTTGTACTATGTCCACATGTGCAACGAAGAAGCAATGATAAAAGAATTTACCTGGCTTGGCTTCGCAGTGGGATCCAGAGATGAATGTGTGCCATTGCTGTTCTTGTAGGTTCCCAGGAAGGGTTGGTGCTAACAGAGAAGAAAAACATGTATCAAAGCTCCAGAGGTCAAATGTGGTAGCAAATAAGAGATGTGGAATTTATGTGACCAGACATAGACACCTTGTGACCTCAGCAAGGGGAGTGCCCTCAGTTTCTTCTTGAGACCCTTCCTGCTTAGTCCATGAACTCCCTCTACCACTAAATCAATACATGTATTAAGAACTGAGATTGTGATATGAATGGAAGTATAGCAATCATAGCTCTCATGCACAAAAAAGAGATGCGAGATCATTCTATTGGAGGAAGAAGAGGAGATTATGAAGTTTGGAACCAGGCTCCAGATAAGAAATTCAGTATGCTGTCGTCACAGAGGAAGAGAGAGAGAGAGAATGAGACTGTTCTTTTTAGAAAGCAAATGCTCAAAAAGGAGGAAAGGAAGGGGTGGGGGAATGAGGGGGGGGAAACATATTGAGATTGTCTTGATAGGAAAGAAGGTAAAGGGGGAGAAATGGGTGAACCTGGGGGCAGAAATTTATGATCAGAGGTTGGACAGATAAACTATACTCCAAAGACAGGACACTGATTATTTTGGGATGAAATTAGTAAACCGTAGAGAAAATGCCTTAAAGAGATTTTATAGATGGCATTTTAAAACTGGCAAAAAGAAGGCAAGAGGCTAATTTTGGATCTAAAGTACCACAGCTGGAAGGCACAAATAAAAAGAGAGAAAGTTACTTGCTGAATACAACAATAGAAATTATTGGTTTGAGAAATACATGTTTATAGATAAAGTAATACGGGTAACATACCTATAAGCAATTCTGGCCATGCTTAGATAGTAATGGTAGTCAAATACATTTAATTATGAATTCAGAAATGTTTATGATTTTATTTATTTATTTATTTGATTTATATCCCACCTATCTGGATGAATAGACCACTCTAGGTGGCTTACAATATAAAATAAAACAATATAACACAACAAATACATAAATAGTACGAACATCAGCTACAATAAATAAAAATAGAGAAAATAAGGAAAGAAAGTCAAGAATTGGCTGGAGGGAAGGCCTGAGTGAACAACCATGTTTTTAATTGGTTTTTAAAGATGAATAAATAAATAAATAAATAAATAAAGGTGGATAAGAAATCTTAATGACGAAATCAGAAATGCTTATGATGATAATTGAATAGAGAGGGATGCAGGTAAAAGAATTTATAAAAATTATTATGGATATAGTACGATTCAGTATGGGAGCAGGGCATAAGATCTGTTCTAGTTAGAATTATATAATGGATAGGTTTGAATGGGAAATACCTCCCGGCATATATGTTTTGTTGGTTTTATATGTTTTTGATGGTCTTAGATGTTTTTGTTTGTTTTGTTTGTACGCATGTGTCACAGAAATAAATTTTTTAAAAAGCTGGGGGGAAAAAAGAAATTCAGTATGCCCATCCAAAAAATGTTCAGAGCACTTTAGACTTCTGCCCAGTCTCAGAATGCAAGCCTTCTAGAATATGCCCCAGCTAGAATATTGCAACACAGCAACATTCGTTGGTGCTATGCTGCAAGATATATAAATCGGTCAACTGTGGTCTGTTTTGTATAACAAAAATAGAAACAGAAAGGTTGTGGCTCCTTAAATCTGTTAAAGATGAACAGAATTATTTCAATGTGAACTTTTGTGGACTGCAGTTCATTTCCTGGGAGAAAATTCACATATGTAAGTCTTTGAGGTGCCAGAACTCTTTTTGTTATACGTGCTGAAACACGCTAACATGGCTATGATGTTGAAACTTGCCATCTGTTCTTTTGTTGACAAAACAAACCAAGATCCAAGAGTTACAACTCCCCAGTCCCCATTTTTATTTAGCATGAAATGCAATCTAAAATCAAAATTGAATTTTAAAATCTGTTCCTCTTGCGCATGAAGAAGAAAGGAGGTGAAGCGCATGAGCAAAAGGCAGGCTTATTCTCATCATGGGAAATCATAATTTCCCAGTATATCTGAAAATTAGATCTGTACCATTGCAGCTGTGCCTCATGTGGAAAACTGGGAATAAACAAGGAAATCAAATCATGGTTGCCCTTCGAAAAGCTAGCTGGTATGTGTATATCCATATGACCAGTACTGGAAAAGATCAAGAATATTTCATCCACATCTAAACAGAGCTGTTTCCTTTTTAAAAAAAAGCTGAAAAAGAAACACTAGGCATGTAGCCCTGAATCCAATTGCTAGTTTCAGCTTGACTAGTCTCATTAATCAATTTCTACCTGCACTGTCAACACTTGGGTAAATCCCATAAATGTGTCTACTCTAGTTAGGACTAATAATTGTATTTGGTCCTGTATATTTCTAATTTCTAGTCCTGACTAAAAATGGGCACAGACAAGAAAAATGATGAATAGGGTGGTTTATGGCTAACCACAAACCAGCCCCAAATCCTGGAAAAAACAAACTCGTTCACAATTCAGTTTTTCAGGTTCATGCCCGAGGGGAGGGGAACCTAATGCCCCTGCCCCATCATCTCCCTTCCTGCTCTTGACTCCTTCTTTTCCTACTCTGCCACTGCCATCTTCAGAGCCACCACATCTGGGAGCCAGGCCTGCTGTCTCTGCACATGTACCAACCTATCAGGTGTAGGCTGGTGAATGTACAGAGACAGCAGAGCTGGGTCATTGTCTCTGAAGATGACAGCAAGAGCAGATGAAGAAGACAGGGTGGTTTCAGGAACAAGTGGGGGGGTGACAGGGGCAGGAGAGGGATGGGCGGAAGCAAAACAAACTACTGGGCAAAAAAAAAATTTCAACACTTCGCTTCATTTTGGCAAAATGGGATCCATGAACCAAACCAGCCCAGTTCATGTTTTTTTTTTCAGAGTTGTGGTTTGGTTCATGCCCATCTCTATCCTGACTGTGAGATCTTATAGGATAATTTATGAGAATATATATAAATGTGTTCACAACAGGACACTCTTGTAATTAACTACTCCGGAGCAGTGAGCACATAAAGGATGGCATCTCTGTGCTAAGAGAAGTCAGCTGAGGGCTTGGATGATAACTTAAGGAGCCATGCAACTAATAGAGTCAGACAGCTATATTTTTGGTACACACATCTTCTGTTATGTTAACCTTCTCCAAAACTGTTTATTCCTACAAAACTTTCTTACTAGAAGGCAGTACAGTACTTACCAGAGTTGGGCAGATCAGAGTTATATTATCCGCAAAACTGAAGGATAATGCTTTCTTTCCTAAAGGCTGAAGCTGGGAAACAAACAAACAAACAATGATTAGGTAACAATGTGTTTTGAATCCTTGCCATCTATTCAAATAGTTAATAAATACTGTGATAGTTTTGTCACACATTTTGATCCACAAAGTACTTTGCAAAACTTTCATTTTCTGTACTTTACAGGGCCACCAAAATTTATCTCAGTGAGTGATGAAGCAATTGTCTAATAGGATAACAGGGGCAATAAGGGGAAGTGTTGTCTATAAGCAACAGAAGAAGAAGAAATGAGAATACAAAATATGCCACAATAGAATTTGACCCGAAAATTTGGAGCTAATCCTCCAGAGGTGCTGTCAGGTGAACGGCTCCTAGTGTTGCTGGCCAAAAGAAATGGTCCATTTATTTCATCTTTTCTTCCTTAGCAGAGTTGCTGTGGTAAGAAAAGAGATGGATAAAGCAACAACAAAACATAGGTTGGTAACAAATGGAAGACAACTTCTGGCCATCTGTATAATTCCAAGAATGAGCCAGGGTGACTGCACAACAAAAGCCTCATTTGGACCTAGAAGTTCTAAAAATAATTTACAAAGATTGAGTTTAGTTGATGGGGAAGAAAATGTTTATTATTTGGGAGCTATGATACCGTTTTAGCCTTTTGTTTCTGATCATGGGGTATTCTTGGTAAAGATACTGGGGTAGCTTGCTAATTCCTACTCCAGGTGGATTGCGTTTAGTCAGAACTCTCCACCATGACCTGTCCGTCTTGGGTGTCCCTGCACGGCATAGCCCATAGCTTCTCTGAGTTACTCAAGCCCTTTAACCATGACAATCCATGGGGTCATGAAGAGTCAGACACTTGTGACCCCATGGATTGTTGCTAAACAATTAAACAACAACAACACGATACCATTGACTTGCTCTCTTGCTTTGCTAGTCCTATTGCAGTTCTTGGGCTGCTACAAGAAAATGAGAGAAAGATACCCAGGAATAGAAATACTACCCAAATAAGAGAAAGTGAATGTACATTAGCAAAAGCCTTATTCTTCCAGAGGCTAGTACTTTACCATATTGTTCCAGAGGGCCCTAGAGAGCTGTGAATGTGATTTCTGACTCAGATGAAAACAATCAGGTGCAAAGAAGGTGATATCTGGATACCCATCCTGAAAATGAAATGAAATGAAATACAACTACTATGCAAAATTCCCATTCATGTGGAATATATAATTCATGTACCCATCCTGAAAATGAAATGAAATGAAAAGAAATGAAATACAACTACTATGCAAAAATCCCATTCATGTGGAATATATAATTCATCGGCTAAAAGTATGTTGCATAGGTTATGCCTACAGAATAATGACACAGACATTTGAAGAGGAAGATTTCCTTTAATTAAAAACTTCCACCTTTGGTTTCACAGCTTCAATGAACTTCTGAGTAACCTGCCTCATTGGACAGAAGCTGTGGGAGCACTGGGATGCAGATTTTTGATAACTGAGACTTCCTCCTTCCACCCCAAAACTCCCACACAATGAAATCACTTACTTAAGAGTCAGGAAGCTATGGGTCAGAAGGAAGAGGTCTTTAATTATGGAAACATTTTCCTCTGCCAGTGACATCATCATCTTTCCACAGATGTAATCTATGCTACAGAATTCTGACCATATTTATTTCTCAGGAGGTGCCTACAATTGAAGAAGTATTTTAATCCTAACCACCTCTGTTGTGATATTAGTTCCTGGGCCATCCAATTGGGCTGGATATGGTAACACAGCAATGGGAAGAAAGTAATTCTTCACACAGGACATCATTAAATTATGGCTTTTGCTACCACAAAATTAGTGATTCATCGACACAGAGCATTTGTTCTTCTGAAAGTACTGTGTTCTGCCCTGATTCTTTGGTATTTTTCCATGCATCCATGCTGCGTAAGGTTTGTCTCATTTAATTCAGTTCTTTTTTCATGACTTTCTATCCTTTCAGCATGGTTTAATTTAGTCCAATTTGTTCAAGAAAGTGGGGTTTAGCACTATGGAATTCCAATTAAACTTCCTTTCTGTGTTCAGAGTTTCCCAGTTGGAATCTTGCATTTATGGTTTCCATTAGCACATTCCTAAAAAGAACTGATTTTTTTAATTGAAGTTTTTTTAATGGGATGTTTGGATGTGAATACCAGTAAACCCCATAGTCCTTCACAAACAAGTGAGAGAAAGTGGAAAGGAAAATTTGCCTTGTCTGGAAGAGCCCTCAGTTGACTTTAGAAGAGATTAGACAAATCTACGAGCAGAAGGATTATTAATAGTTACTGTTTTCATGAGGGCTACCTGCTGCCAGTGAGTACTAGTTGCTGGGGTACAACAGCAGAAAGGTCTGTGTTTTTAGGTTCTGGTTGAGATATTTTCATGGACATCTAGTCAGCCACTGTGACAGACAGGATGCTGAGCTAGGCAGGCTTTTGTTCTGATCTAGTATAGCTCTTGTTACATTTACCTTCAGATAGGGTTTCTAGTCTTTATTCCAGGAAAAACTCCTATTAATTTGAAAGGTAGTAACGTTTCTAGCCATATACTGTAGCTCCCAATATACTCCATTCATCTGACATGAATGTCCCTTTAAAGCAAATGCAAATATTGCAGCAATTGGTTTCTTCAATGTCTGGCTTAAAACCATTGCAGTCTGAGTAGCAGCTTTCTCTAATGGCTCCTATAACTCCATTCAAGTCATTTTGGGCATTGGAGGGTTATTTTGTCAATATGGGCTCTGTAAGAGTTCTTTTAGGTCAATCTGATTTTTAAACATTGACATAATAAATTCTCAAACTTTTTTGGAACCACAAGCATTTAAAAGGCAGTCATTTCAAGCTTAAATTAACTGTGAAACATGAATAAGAAATATGTGCAATACAATACAGAATGTTAAGTCACATTTATAAATTACAGAAAAGCACATTATATAAGCTGAGAAATTGTTATATAATGCAAGATATGTAAATTACCAAAACCAGTCAAAATATTCAGAGTTGAAACAGCTTTGTTGGCATTCTTAGAAGTAGAAAAATGAAGCGATTGTCCATAAAAACAGCTTGGTTGTTTTGTTAAAAATTTTAATACATTTGAGTAAACTTCGACTTTTGGGGACTCTTTCATGATATGATAGGGGTTTGGTTATGGTACCAAAGGCTTTTTCTTCTTCATGTATCTGTTCCCACTCCCACAGAAATCAAGATGTGCAGGTAGAAGTCTAAACTGGGAATCCATATTGAGAAAAACACAAGTGCTCAAAACAAGTAGAAATGGAACCCACCGGCAAAACTCAGTAGTTTCAACTAGGATAGGCTCATTGCATCTGTGGAAATTACATACATGTTGACATGCTAAAGTCTCATTGACTAAGGAAATTTACTGTAACCAGGACTAGCAACTGAATTTAGCCCATTATATTTTTTTTAGCTATTCAATTATTTCAGTCCTCTGTTGTATATGTAATATTAGTTCTCTGGCCTGAGTCATCTGTGAGTTCATATTATAATGCTTGAAGTTTGTGACCCAGCAACTCCCTCTAATTGGCTAATTAGGCTATTCCCTGTTACTGAAGAGTGCAGCTGGACTTGAGCAGGGTTGTGACCCGGAGTCTGAGGCTTGATCCAAGTTGCATAAGCACAGCCTTGCACATCATGCTTAATGTTCCCACAGAATGCCATGAAAGCTTTGTAAGCCAACTTGGAAGAAGAGCAAAGTGAACATTCACATAAAACACACGACACACCTGTAGAAGAGGTAATGTGATGGTTCGGAGGAAAGGCTGTAATACGACTGTGAAATCCTCACGCGTGTCATACTGGCCATTCTCCACCAGTTTTTGTAGGGTGCTCTGTGGAAGAAAAAGAAAAGAGCAACCTTCAGTTCCTGAGTCTATTTACAAGGCTTAAGAACTGACAGTGCCAAGAGACACACATTCAATGCTTATTCGAAAATACTCAGAAATTCTTTCAGATGCTTGCTCAAAGTAACAAGGCCCCTCATTTTGCCTATAAAGACAGATAAGGTTTACCATGTATGAAAGATAATGGGAAGCCCTCCAGCAATAGATAAGAATTAAAACAGGGGTTGTTATGTGCAAAGATTCTCTCCAAAATCCTGAACTGCAAGGATTATATCCAATTTATGAAGGCAATTCAAGTCTGTTTATCTAGGGGTATGTGCACATACAAACACACTTGTTTATGTTGCGTTCTTTGAGTGCGGCAAAATTTAAAATTGGTTTTCAAGGAGAAGAGTAAGAGAAGGCCAAGATAAAAGAACAGTGGGGTCAATAGGAGTGAAGAGAGAGGGACCAGAAGCACCGAGAGAAACAAACTATGTAAAGTATAGAATTCTTGTTTCCTGACAATAAGAAGTACAAACACAGACCACTCCTAGATTTATGGTACTTGAAAGATGCCACAGATGCATTTTATCATAATATATAATAATCATCATAGAGCTGCAGATTTGAAAGGAATCCTATGGATCATCACGTCTAGCCCCCTGTTAGGGAGGCACAGTGTAGAATCAAACTCTTAACCTCTGGCTCTGCAGCCAGATACCACTGAGCAATCCAGAAGGGCCTGTGTAATATTTTAATTTTCAAATATTTATCTTCAGCCATGAGGCCTGGCAACTTGCCTTTTTATCTTAAAAGAAAGCCTAAATTGTCAAAAAGCCAATTTCTCTGCTAGTGTAGATTCTACACGGTGTGATATGTAGAAACATAACACATAATATACATTGTACAGTAGTCATGAGGTGTTTGTAAAATGCTTCTAACGGTGTTACAATGCATGGTGATTTTTAATCATGTCATAGGTGTTCAAAAGCAATAATATGGTAGTATTTGGACATGTTATACTATGTAACAAAAATCATACAAATACTGGCAATATACAAGAAGGAAGAATTGATTCTCCACAGATATACCTGATAAGCTTTGATTGCTTTCTCCATCACCACTAGCTGAGAAGAGCCTTCTTGAATTGAAAGAATGCAGCTACAAAGACCTCTGCACATGAAATTGAAGGGGGAAAGACATAGACAGAGCAGGCAAAAGATTAATGAAATGACCAAACGCAGACACACAGTTCTCCTAGAAATACAATGAGGTACTTATTTGCTGTTTTGCCTGAACGGCACAACACTTAATTTTTACCCATTCCTACTTGTAGTCATTTTAAATAAGGGTAGGAAAAAAATAGAAAAAAAAGCGGGTCTGTTTATTAAATGTGAGTTGTAATTAAAATGACACTCTTATAAATGACATTTTAATGGTTTGATAGATGTTTATTAACATAGTCCTGGACATGCAATTCATCTCTGTCTCTCTCTAGTCACAATTTAAAGAACTTGCTCCCAATCTTGGGTGCCTAGATGTTCTTGGACTACAGTTCCTAGAAATCATGGCCAGTACAGCTTGTGGTGAAGGCTTCTGGGAGTTGTAGTCCAAGAACATCTGGGGACCCAAGGTTGGGAAACAATGATGTAAAGTCACTGAATAACCCTAGTTTCCAGAATTATGACCAAGGAATGTCTTCCTATTTACATTCTCCACACCATACAAAACTTTAAACACCCCCTGCAACATTTTTCTAATGAAACGATCTCTACATTCTATAACCTTTCAATAAGACCTCTTGATTGCTTTGTTTGCTTTCTATAATTTTTTTTCTGCTCTACAATACACTTTTTGAGGTATCAGTGAAGGTGACAGAGAAATTGCAACTTGAAGAATGCATTATTGGGGCTACCATATAACATTTGTTGTGACAGATCCTACTGGCTTGCAAGTAGCTTCCCCAGGACATCTAAGGTAAGACATGGGATATTTCCACATTATTGTGCTTTTGTAGACATTGCCTCATTCTGCTTGGTTGAGCTTGCCAAGTATTCCTCTTGAATTTTTTTCCTCTATACCAGGGAAAAATCATTGCCATATAATTAAATAAGGTTCTTCTAAAACTTCAGATGAGCTTCTTACTGGATACAAACTGGACACCATAAGTGCATGTCCTGGACATAACCGGTTTTTTTCTGCTTGACTCCACACCATACAAAACTTTAAACACCCCCTGCAACATTTTTCTAATGAAACGATCTCTACATTCTATAACCTTTCAATAAGACCTCTTGATTGCTTTGTTTGCTTTCTATAATTTTTTTTCTGCTCTACAATACACTTTTTTGAGGTATCAGTGAAGGTGACAGAGAAATTGCAACTTGAAGAATGCATTATTGGGGCTACCATATAACATTTGTTGTGACAGATCCTACTGGCTTGCAAGTAGCTTCCCCAGGACATCTAAGGTAAGACATGGGATATTTCCACATTATTGTGCTATTGTAGACATTGCCTCATTCTGCTTGGTTGAGCTTGCCAAGTATTCCTCTTGAATTTTTTTTCCTCTATACCAGGGAAAAATTATTGCCATATAATTAAATAAGGTTCTTCTAAAACTTCAGATGAGCTTCTTACTGGATACCATAAGTGCATGTCCTGGACATAACAGGTTTTTTTCTGTTTGGGCAAAGGGCAAGACTGCAACCTGCACTCTGTGCACATAATCTTAATTTGACACTGGTGAGGGCCTGGGGTCCTCTGCTGCACCTTGGAGCAGTTTAAGGAATGTCAAGGAGATCACCTGGGATGCTCAGTTGTTCCTGGAACGCTTTTTGTTGTCCCTCCCTGGTTTCCTAGCATGTGCAACCTGTGGCAGCCGCCCCACTCTGCTTAATGGTAGGACCAGACCTGGATATAGAATGGAACAAATCTGTCTTACTCTGCTAGATGTGTGGGACATGATAATCTACTGTCCAGAAACAACTGTCTCAAAGGAAGAAGGTCCATTATGTCCACCAGATTAATCAAAGCTTTAGGCACCTGATGAGTAAAAGAAGAACTCAGTTATTCAGTCAGTAGTATTGGGAACAGAAATCTGGTATTTCTCCTACTTTACTGCCAAAGCAGCTGTCACAGATTATTAATATATCATTTTGCTTCACTTTTCCTCAAAATCTCTACCCCTTCCTCTGTAAGGTTTCACATCATCACAAAGACTCAACAATAATTATTAGTGTTTCTATGCATGTGTCATGGTTACCAGCAAGACATTGTGGCGGACACTAATTAGGGATATTAAGACATAAGACATAAGACATAAGAAATTTATTTGTCATTGCGCTCACAAGTGGGTGCAACGAAATGAGGTGCTCTTCCCCAAGGTAAAACTGGACAACACTACAAAAAAAAAGTTAAAATATACACAACTTTCACCATCCAAATATAGATACCCCGTTTTCTCTCAGCAATTAAAAAGTCCACCAAAAACTTATGGCCCCGCATTTAAACTCAATACTGCACTTGGGTAAAAACTGTTCTTGAATCTGCTTGTCCTTGCTTTCAATACCCTGAATCTCCTTCCTGATGGTAATAGTTTAAAGAGCTGATATCCGTCACAGATTATTAATATATCATTTTGCTTCACTTTTCCGCAAAATCTCTACCCCTTCCTTTGTAAGGTTTCACATCATCACAAAGACTCAACAATAATTATTAGTGTTTCTATACATGTGTCATGCTCACCAGCAAGACATTGTGGCGGACATTAATTAGGGATATTGTGACACGATTCTCCCCACTTCTCGAACCCTGAATCTCCTTCCTGATGGTAATAGTTTAAAGAGCTGATATCCCGGATGAGAGGAGTCTTTCAGTATGTTAGATATCTTCCTCTTACATCTGTTCTTATACAATTCTTCCAAAGAGGGGAGTGAACAGCCAATGATGTTTTGGGCCGTCTTGATCACCCCTTGAATTGCCTTTTTCTCTGCCACTGTGCAGCTCGTGAACCATACATATTGTGACACTTTTCTCCCCACTTCTCAATGATATTTCATTATTCATTCAGGCATTGGACTCCCTTGGTTCTGCATCCATTACATTTTTGCAGAATGTCATTCTATGATTGCTGGGGGCAGGGGTGTGTGGAAGAGTTTTATACCATGGTTAAGTATTTTTCCACACAATCAAGGAAGAAACACTCGAAATGCATGGTAAACTTTGCAGAATATTTTCCCAAGCCACTATAATAATCCTTCCAGGCTTCCGGCAAAGGGAGATTGAGGAGATGAATAGTTCTGATGCAAGGATGTGGCATTGACAGGAGTGGAAGAAAATGACAAATCTTAATTTTTTTTAAGGATTTTGTAATGTACTGAGAGGGAAGACTCATCCCTTCTAAAAGTTGGCTGGCAGTCTCCAAACTTTGGCTTGACACTGACATTATGTGGATTTGAGATATATAAATGTCACAAGGTTCTCTATCCAGTGGGATATCACTATTGAAATGTGATACAATCTATCTTTCTTTATGAACTCACGGGGCATCTCTAAAATTTTGTCTTCAGGCTTTGCCGGTGTCATTGTTATAGCAAGCTTCAAAGCAAAGATTATGGAACAAATTAATTACATGTGAAAACATACTGAAATCCTAAATGACCTCTTTTTGTAAGAAATGTTTCTGGAGCTGGGGGGTGCAATTTTCAGCATCGTTATAGTAGGTAAGAAGCTGTTGAACCCTTTCTTCCATCCTTGGTGTTTTCCACCATAGTTTCCCTCAGCCACATCCACCACCTAAAGGATTCTGGGACTGGTATTTACTCTCATGAGCATACATATGGAATCCCATGTTTTTCTTAGAGAAGGTAAAGCAGCTTGGTGGGGAAATGCAATGAACAAAGGAAGCATTGAGGATCTCTCCCCACTATTGCTGCTTATCTGCTTAAAATATTCTTTGCAAGGGGAGGTTTTTGTCAAAGAGGAAACCCACATGAACATTTGCACCACTTTTTGGTGTGCTGATGGACTGGGTTGATTCCCCCTCCCCCCCACCCCAGTGTCCACACATGGCTGTCGCTGGAGTGGACCAATTTGCCCCAATCCCTACCTTTTTGAACACCCATCAGGGGGTTTTATACTGTGGTGTGGATTGGAGGGCTCGGGTTTAGTCTGTTCCCAGCAGGTGTCGTCACTTGGAATTGAGTAAACTAGAGCAGTGCAGCTCCTTCCAGTGCAAATTTCCAATACCCTGAAGCAGCTTGTGAAGGTCAGACTCTTGTGTGCAGAGGGTCAGGGCAAGTGAACTTTTTTTAAAATGGCTGCTAGATGGTTGGGGTTGTGATGAATCAGTTTGTTTGTTTGTTTGTTTGTTTGTTTAAAATTAAAGTGATTGATCACATTAGAAATGATGTAGTAAATGAAAAAAATCACTTCCCCTGACCCTTTGCAGACAGTCGGGGAAGCGCATAATTGACAGTGAATCAGGTTACAAAGGGCTGTTCATCATTCCGATGGGAGGAACGCACCAAATGGCAAATTGCTCCTCCCCTTGACCTCAACCAACCTTTGTAGCTCAATCCTGCCCACATCAAAATGGCCAGGTTCTATGGACTCATCATAAAAACAGAACTAAAAGGAGGTCAAAGGATAAAATGAATGGGGAGGAGATGAAGAGGGCTACCTTTGGAGCCCACCCAGCATCTAAGAAGTCCTTTTACTACTGTTTTTCCATCTAGCAAAAAGTATATTCACAGCAGAATAATAGGCACT